AAAACAAAACACTGTTCTAGGCACTCAGAGGAAGAACAAGTTTTGGAAATCAATTACTACTTAAACCAAACTAGTTTAGGAAACTGGCATTTCCATAATAATCAAAAATGCATGGTTTTGGAACAAGAACAGACACATGGAACAATGGAACTGAACAGAAAATCCAGAAATAAACCCACAGATTTACAGTCAACTAATCTTTGACAAAGGAGCAAAGAATATGCAGTGGAACAAAGAAAGTTTGTTCAATAAATGGTGCTGGGAAAACTGGGTCGCTACAAGCAAAAGAATGAAGCTTGACAAACTACCTCACATCATGCACAAAAACCAACTCAAAATGGATTAAAGAACTAGACATAAGACCTGAAACCATAAAATATATAAAAGGAAATATATGTGAAACACAACATGACATACACCTCAGTAACATCTTTAAAGACTCATCACCCAAAGCAATGATAGCAAAGGCAAAGATAAACAACTGGGACTACATCAAATTAAAGAGCTTCTGTACAGCAAAAGAGACAGTAACCAAAACGTCTAGACACCCCACCAACTGGGAGAAAATTTTTGCATGCTAACAGTAATGATAAAGGACTGATCACAAAAATCTACAAAGAGCTGAACAGTCTCAATAAAAACAAAGTAAATACTCCAGTCAAAAAATGGGCAGAAGAGCTAAAAAGACACTTCTCCAAAGAGGAAATGCGAATGGCCAACAGGCATATGAAAAAATGTCCACCATCACTTGTAATCAGGGAAATGCAAATCAAAACTACAATGAGATACCATATTACACCAGTGAGAATGGCACATATTAAAAAAACTAGCAACAACAAATGCTGGCAAGGATGTGGAGAAAAAGGAACTCTATTGCAGAGCTGGTAGGAGTGCAAACTGGTCCAACCACTATGGAAAGCTTAGAGATTCCTCAGCCTGCTAAAGATGGAGCTTCCATATGATCCAGCAATTCCACTCCTAGGTATTTACCCAAAGGACACAGAAACATTAATTCAAAAGGGCACCTGCACCCCTATGTTTATAGCAGTGCTATTTACAATAGCTAAGCTATGGAAACAACCCAAATACCCAAAAATGGATGACTGGATCAAGATGTGATATGTATACACAATGGAATATTCTCAGCAATCAAAAAAGATAAACTCGGGCCTCCCTGGTGGCGCAGCAGTTGAGCGCTGGGCTGCAAAGCTGCCTGCAGCCTCTGCAGCGCCGGTTCGATCCAGGGTCGCCGGTGAGGGTCCCACATGGTGCGCAGATCTCTCCTGTCGTGCCCGCTGCTCCCCTCAGCAGTGTATTTCGTCATTCTGCCTGTTCTGCTCCCTGCTCTGGCTCTGGTGAATTCTCTCACCCTCCCGTGCTTCTGACTGTACCCAGTGCTTGTATAAATAAATAAAAAAAAAATCTTAAAAAAAAAAAAAGATAAACTCATGCAACTTGCAGTCACATGGATGGAGCTGAAAGTGTTCATGCTCAGTGAAATAAGCCAGAAAGAAGAAGAAAAATACTGGATGGTCTCACTCATAGCAGGGATTTAGAAGTTGACTGCAAATAAGAGCCCCTAAATAAGGGACCAGGAAAAAGACTAATTATAATAAAGTAAAAATCAAAATCAACAAGCAACTATAAACCAGAGACACATTACCACTACAGGAGAAGGGGTGTAGGAGGTATTACAGTCAAAATAAGGGGGGGGTGTGGGAATTGTATGGGGACTATAACCAAGATGAAAATGCATACGTTGTGCAAAAATGAAAAAATGATGTAAATAATAAAGAAAAGAAAAGAAACTGGCATTCCCATTATGATACAAGAAGATTATTATCACTTCTGTACAAAAAGTAGTAAAAATCCATAAGATGACAGCAGGTTGAAAGAGTGTAACAGGGTGAAACAGAGACAAAGTGACAGATAGTGATAAGAGTTTCAAGGAAACAAATACCATGACTATTTAAATCTGTAATAGAATTGCTAAACAATACTAGTATCGGGTCTCCCTGGAGGCCTAGGGGTTAAGTCTCACTACTACTGCTTGAGTTCAACCCTGGCCAGGGAGCTAACCCACGTGGCACAGCAGACCTCTCCTGACTCACCTGCTGCTCCCCTCAGCAGTGTATTTCAGTCAGTCTGCCTGTTCTGTTCCCTACTCTGTCTCTGGTGAATCTTCTCACCCTCCACACCTCTGGCCTGTACCCCAGTTCTTGTATGCATAAATAAATAAATCTTAAAAAAATAAATAAAAGAGGTAAATCTAATCTACAGATAGGGAGATTAGCTCAGTGGTTGATCTGGAATGGAATAAGGGAAAAACAGTAAAGACAGGAGGGAATTTCTATGATAATGGAATGGCCTAGATCTTCAAAGAGGTGGTATACTTGTCAAAGCCCACTGAAACAGTCTTAAAGCATGTGCATTTTGTTATATGTAAATTTTGAATAAAGTTGATTTTTATAAAAAGGTATCTATAACTAGCTGCATTCTAAAAAGTCTGAATTGCATACCTTAAGGAAAATTCTACGAATTTCTGGGAAGGAAAATCAGACTACTTCCAAAGAGTAAAAAAAAATTGTTATCAGATTTCTCCTCAGAAATACTAAGGATGATAATGAAAATTTGTTTACAGTTATTTTGGAGGGAAAAGAAGCCCTAAGATTTTTATGTCTAGACAATAACTGTTTATAAGTTATATAACAAAAAAAAAAAAAAAAAACCCACAACCTAAATATGGGAGGACTCCGAAAATAATACCACACACCCACCCTTATGGAAAAAAAATGAAACTATTTTCTAGCTGATAGAGATGATTCACACTTAAGAAGTGAAGAATAAAGAAAATCTAAATACTTATTGCAAAAATTACATGAAACTGTTTGACATTTGTCAAACAATAACTGTTATTCCTAGACACAAAACAAAACATATATATATAAAGGCAGTAACAGTCCCAAACCTCAAATTACATTAATTAAAACAGGGGGGTGGGGATGACAGAAGATGACAGTAGGTAGTAAATGCTACCATTAAATTAATCATTATTAGATGTAGAGTGAACTTGAGAGCTATTGTGTAACTAAATTGTCAAATATTCACTCATAAAAATAATGAGGACATACTTCATGTTCAGATACAAAATTATCTAGAAGATTAATTTATTCTAAAGTAGAAGTATAATACAAAAAATATATATAGCATGCTATGATTACTGTAACAAAGGAAATTGGTGACCTTGGCTGCCTTGTATGAGAGTAGTTGGGAATTAGCAGTAAAAAGGAGACTTTATTGCAGTTTTTTCTCCTTTGTTTATTTGTAAATAAATCATATAAAGGTAACCTATTTTAAAGATATCGGAATTTTAAATGCTTTTATAATCAAGTAAATACTCATTGCAGAATCTATTGCACATCTAAATATAATATATGATAAAGGAAATATCACAAATCAGAAAAACAATAAATGATCTTGGAAGAAATGGTTTCTGATATTAAAAAAAAAACAAAAAAACTCTAGTACTTATTTCACAGCACTGACCATAATAAACTACAAACAGATTAAAGAGTTAAATTATAAAATTTAAACTAAAAATTAAATTAAAACATTGGAATAAAACAGGTGGATCCCAGAGCAAAAGACGTTCCAAAAGAAATCTGATGTACTTGATTACATTAAAATGAAGATTTCCTGTCAGGAACATTAAATACAAGGCATACTTAAAACTTAAAAAATACTTCTTACAAAGACAAAATTAATTCTTTATTTTTTTTAAAAAACAATCAATTAAAAGACAAATCAAGCCTTTGAAAAACCTCACTAAGACCTCAGTATAAAAATGGGCAAAGGAAACGGATAGAAATGAAATGAAAATGTTTAAGAAACATGCAGACCATCTGAAATCTCATTGGTAATCAGAACATTCGAAACTGAAACGAGATCTTCCCTTGCCTATCAGATGGGAAACAGGTATCCTCATAACAACCTGGGATATGTACCAACAGCCTTAAAAATGTGCAAAATTTTAGACTGAATAATTCTAGTTTTATATAAAACTCAAGAATTTAATGCAACTTTACCACTAGTAGGGAAAAAAAACTCTAGAAACAAAAAGATCTAGCAATATGGATATGTTAGTAATGTTATATGAACATATTCATACAACAAAATATTATGAAGGATTTAAAATACTATTTTTGAAAAACAATAGATAAATGGAAAAGAAATATAAAATTATTAAGTGCTATATGACAATTTTAAGACAACATTTTCTATACATACACATTTTAAATACTGGAGGGAAATGCAACAAAATGTAAGCAACCATTTTCTTTAAAATTATTTAGTCTTATTACTTTTATTTTTCTATTTTAGTTCCTATAAGTATGTAGCACAGGCATCATACTTTAGATGAAGAAATGTTATAATTACCAAAATTTTACCTGGCATCAACATGCTGGGGATTGAAATGAAAAAATTAATTATCCTAACAAAAAACTGTGATAGTACTTTTGTACTTGCCTTCCCTTTTTCTTTTGGTTCAGAACTTCATGGGCTAAAAGAACAGATGCTTTAGCAGAACAACTCCAGTGGTTGGCCAAAAGGAGCATTATCACTCAGTGTAATGAATGATCTTGTACAGGCTCTGGGACTGAACCATAGACACCTCAGAGGCTTCCATGACATACTAGTCTGCCCAGAAAGTCTTTACTCAAGACCACCCACTTATGGCCCACAAGCTACCAGGTGAAAGTAACTGCTGAAATAATAGAGGAATTGATAACTCTGGCATGAAGAATCCACATCCCCTGCCCAGGATCCCAGGTGCCCCTCCCCATTCCCTGCTGTTTTCTCTGGCACGATATATTACAGCATGTTCATTCCAACCCAACTAATAAAGGAGCTTTTTAAAGTTGAGAAAAACAGGGCGTATTGGGTTCCTGGGTCCAGCATGTGTGCAATACATAAAGCAGCACAGACCACATGTACGGTACCTTCCCGAAGCTGTGTTGGCTTGGCAGAATTTTCCCCACTCATTAAAACAACAAAAGATGCAGCTGCTCGAACTGTAGCTTGCCATGTTGACATGGCAACGGGTGGCTCCTGGCACGGAAAAAGGGCCCTGTTGTTTATGGGCGATCCCATAGTATAAACACATGGCCTATAGAAGAAAGACAAAGAAATAAAGGAGGAGAATCTTTAAAATGAGTTGTCACTTTTCTCACCACCATGGTAGTAAAGGTTAAGTTGAGCTTTCAAAGACAAAACATTTGAGGCTTTGTAGTTGACTGGTTTCAAAGCATTCTGAACTAAAGCTGCCAAACGTTGGCTATGTGAATAGTCGAGTGGTAATTTCTCCCAAATGAATTACTTAAATATGTAAAGAGAGTTGTTTTCTTTTAAAGGGAAAATATTTTTTGGATAAAGGTTTTTAAACCAGCCTGCCAAGTTAAAATTTATATTACCCTTACCCCTCCCCTTACACCCTTTTGCCTTCAAAAGAAAAATGTTTTAGAGATATTCTTACAAACCTTTTGGAAAATATTCTGGAAAAGAAAATATGTTTGGAGATCACTGAGATATTAATGCTTGGAAAAACAAGCTGGTGGTCTCAAATCCAGTGCTGGCAGACAGACACCCCAATCTTGGAAACCACCATCTCAAATGGAACCCTTGTGGGAATCCTTGTGTGTAGGCCAAAAACAGGGTTGGCATATAAACAGGACTATAGGTCACAACAACCAGCTTGTGATGGGAAGGCCAAGGGCAGAGTCATTACCAAAATGAGGGTGGAAACCAACGGCATGACATTGGGGCTCGTTCTACTAATTAAAAAATACGAACCCACCTATACCAAGAACAGTGTCTTCCATGATTAAGTCATGGTTTACATAAATGGAGATCTACAAGACCAAAGTAATCCATTCTTTTGACACTACCACAGAAGGCACAAGACTAACCCTTATGAAAATGTGTCTACCTTTTGCATTTCAGGAGTTAGGACAAATATGTAGTTTTCATCAGCTTTACTAACAACACTAGGATTGAACACTAGGATTTATTGTATTCCTACAAAGTGCACGAACGCACTGGCCCCACTCTGTGAGTCAGGGTCCAGTAAGGAAAAGAGAAACTAGTCTAGGTCTTAACAACCAGATAATTTAATACATGGAACTGGTTAAATAAGTGAGAAGAACTGAAAACCCAAGCAAGAGAGATCAAGGCAACTCAGAGTGTAGTTACAACAGTGAGTAAACTGACTTCTTGGGTTGGAAAAGCTGGTGTTGCTGGATGTTCTAGGGTTAGTGGCTGCATCATTTGGCAGAAGCCTGAGTCACAAATGGGAGCTGTCTCATGAATGCTGGGACCACAGAGAAGACCCCGTCACTGCTGCTGATGCTAAAGCAAGCAGGAAGTGGGGAAGAATAACTTGTTTTCACCAACTCTTCCTTTCAAAAATTCCACCAGTGCCCTCCCCTCCCCCACTATTGCCAAACCTAGTAGGAAGCTAGAAGACAAAGGAGCCTGGACAATGAGTTTTCTTGTCATTCAGAGAAGATCACAATAAGAGAAAAAATTGGACCTGCGAGCATATAGGCAGTTGCAGTCTGCCTATCCTAGAAATGTACCTGCCATTATAACTCGCAGGTTCAATTTGGCATAGGGAAAAAAGATGAGAAATTCAGAAGACTTTAGACTTTACCACCTGGGATGCCAACTTACTCCGTTACTGTGGACAGTAACTTGACCTCTCTGAGTAAAATGGGGATGGGGACGGGCAGGTGATTCTAAATTGTCTGCTGTAGAATATAATTGTATGATTCTGTATTTCAAGTTAATGATATTAGAACAAAGATAAGATTTTATGGAAGACTCAGAATCTCTTATCAATTTCAATGAAAGGGATTCCCACTCTGGGCCCTTGAGCCCTTACTGAATAGACTTAACTTCAGTTAACTGTCCAGCCTCAGGCTGTTTAAGAATCTAATGAGGAAATGTCCAAAATAGATGACTGGATCAAAGAGATGTGTACAATGGAATACTATTCAGCAATTAAAAAAGATAAGCTAATGCTATTCACAGCAACATGGATGGAGCTACAAGGGATTATGCTCAGTAAAATAAGTCAGAAGGAAAAAGAAAAATAATAGATGGTTTCACTTATAGGAGGAATATATGGGAATGATACACGAGATCAAGGAAAAAATAGTAACAATAAGAAAACAACAAAATAAAAATAAACAGACAACTATATAAATCAGAGACATTCTGTAGGGGAGGGGGGAGGGAAAGGAATCAAAACAAGGGTGGGAAGAGCACAAGGGACTATGGTGATGGTGCACAGGTGAATTGGTGGTTGGAATTTTATGGGGATTATACCTGAGGAAAGAAAGCAAATATTGTTAAAAAATAATAATAATAAAATAATAAAAAAAGAATCTTATGAGGAAGCCTCTAGAGCTCACCTCCTTCTAGATGGGGCTGGGGGTGGGGGATGCATGAGGAGGGAGGGATGCTGGTTTTGATATTTTTCCCCAAAGCCCAAATTAGAGAAGGCTCCAAGAAAGAAAAAGTAAGTATCATTACTGAGGTGTATGTCATATAGTGTTTTGCCTATATTACCTTCTATATAGTTTATGATTTCAGTTCTTATGTCTAGTTCTTTAACCCATTTTGAGTTGGTTTTTGTGCATGGTGTGAGGTAGTAGTCAAGCTTCATTCCTTTGCATGTAGCAGCCCAGTTTACCCAGCACCATTTATTGAACAAACTTTCTTTGCTCCATTGCATATTCCTTTTTAAAAACAAATTATATTTTATATAATTCTTATATCATTTTTTCATTTTTGCACAATGTATGCATTTTCATTTGGTTATATTCCCCATACAATTGCACCCTCCCCCCTTATTTTGACCCTAGTCCTTCCTCTCCCACCCTCTCCCCCATAGTGTGTCTCTGGTTTATAATTGCTTGTTGATTTTGATTTTTACTTTGTATTAATTAGTCTTTTTCCTGGTCCCTTATTTAGGTTTTCTAAATTCCTGCTATGAGTGAGACCATCCTGTATTTTTCTTTTTCTTTCTGACTTATTTCGCTGGCCATGATCCCTTCCAGCTCCATCCATGTTGCTGCAAACTGCATGTGTTTATCTTTTTTGATTGCTGAGTAATATTCCATGGTGTATATGTACCACAGCTTCTTGATCCAGTCATCTATTTTTGGGCATTTGGGTTGTTTCCATAGCTTAGCTATTGTAAATAGTGCTGCAATAAACATAGGGATGCAGGTGTCATTTGGAATTAATGTTTCTGCGTCATTTGGGTAAATACATAGGAGTGGAATTGCTGGATCATGTGGAAGCTCTATCTTTAGTAGGTCAAGAAAGCTCCATTTCATATTCTTTGCTCCTTTGTCAAAGACTAGCTGACCGTAAATCTATGGGTTTATTTCTGGGTTTTCTGTTTGGTTCCATTGGTATGTGTGTCTGTTCTTGTTCCAATACACCTCAGTAACATATTTAAAGACACATCACCCAAAACAATGATAGTGAAGGAAAGCATAAACAGCTGGGACTACATCAAATTAAAGAGCTTCTGTATAGCAAAAGAGACAATAACCACTGATTGGGAGAAAATTTTTGCACACAATACTAATGATAAGGGACTGATGACAAAAATCTACAAATTGCTGACAAAACTCAACAAAAACAAAGTAAATAACCCAGTCAAGAAATGGGCAGAAGGGCCTCCCAGGTGGCGCAGCAGATGAGCGCTGGGCTGCGAAGCTGCCCTCAGCCTCTGCATCGCCGGTTCAATCCCTGGCCGCCAGCGAGGGTCCCACATGGTGCAGCAGACCTCTCCTGCCGCGCCCGGTGGTCCCCTCAGCAGTGTACCTCAGTCCTTCTGCCTGTTCTGTTCCCTGCTCTGCCTCTGGTGAATTCTCTCATCCTCCCACACTTCTGACTGTACCCAGTGCTTGTATAAATAAATAAATAAATCTTTAAAAAAAAAAAAAGGGCAGAAGAGCTAAAAAAAAAAAAAAATACTTCTCCGAAGAGGAAATGCAAATGGCCAACAGGCATATGAAAAAATGTTCAACATCACTTGTAATCAGGGAAATGCAAATCAAAACCACAATGAGATACTACCTTACACCAGTGAGAATGGCACATATTAGAAAAACTAGCAACAACAAGTGTTGGTGAGGGTGTGGAGAAAAAGGAACTTTATTACACTGCTGGTGGGAGTGCAAATTGGTGCAACTGCTATATATAGAAAGCTGTGTGGAGCTTCCTCAGTCTGCTAAAAATGGTGCTTCCATATGACCCAGCAACTCCACTCCTAGGTATCTACCCAAAGGACAAAAAAAAATTAATTCAAAAGGACACCTGCACCCCTATGTCTATTGCAGCACTATTTACAACAGGTAAGCTATGGAAACAACCCAAATGCCCAAAAATAGATGACTGGATCAAGAAGATGTAGATATATATACACAATGGAATATTACTCAGCAATCAAAAAAGATAAACTCATGGCATTTGCAGCAACATGGATGGAACTGGAAGGGATCATGCTCAGTGAAATAGGCCAGAAAGAAAAAGGAAAATACCGGATGGTCTCATTTATATCAGAAATGTAGAGGATCCAAATAAGGGATCAGAAAAAAAATCTATAATAAAGCAAAAATCAAAATCAACAGGCAACTACAAACCAGAGACATACTGCAGGGAAGGTGAAGGGAGTAGGATCAAACAAGGGTGAGAAGAGCACAAGGGACAATGGTGATAGTTCATAGGTGAAAGGGTGGTGGGAATTTCACAGGGACTATAACCACGATGAAAAAGCATACATTATACAAAAATGAAAAATCATGTAAAAATACATAAAATAATAAATAAAAAATAAATTACATGCTGGTTAAAAAAAAAAAAAAGTCTCATTGGTGGAAACAGGCTATCTTCCCAGTGCTTTCTCTGGCAAAGGCAGACACAGAGAATCAAGTCTTCTTTTCTTCCTCACTGAAGCAAATGCTTCCCACCCCCCCCCAACTTTTCTCATTTCTGGAACTCTAGAAGCCACTTCCAATCTAAAGAGACTCCTGGGGTTAAAACAAGTTGCGATTTTTACTGGAAGTATCAAGCTCATGCCTACAAATCTCT